AAGAAAGAAAGAAAGAAAGAAAGAAAGAAAGAAAGAAAGAAAGAAAGGAAGGAAGGAAGAGAATAGGAATAGGAATAGGAGTTGGAAGGGACCTTGGAGGTCTTCTAGTCCAACCCCCTGCTTAGGTAGGAAACCCTACGCACCACTTCAGACAAACGGAATCCAACATCTTTTTAAAAACTTCCAGTGTTGGAGCATTCACAAGTTCTGGAGGCAAATTGTTCCACTGGTTAATTGTCCTCGCTGTTAGGAAATTCCTCCTTAGTTCTAGGTGGCTTCTCCCCTTGGTTAGTTTCCATCCGTTGCTTCTTGTCCTGCCCTCTTGTGCTTTGGAGAATAGCTTGACTCCCTCTTCTTTGGGGCAGCCCCTGAGATGCTGGAAGACTGCTATCATGTCACCCCTTAGTCCTTCTTTTCATCAAACTAGACATCCCCAATTCCAGCAACCTTTCTTCATCTGCTTTAGCCTCCTGTCCCCTAATCATCTTTATTTCTCTTCTCTGGCACTTTTTCCAAAGTCTCAACGTCTTTTTGATAATACGGTGACCAAAACTGGATCCCGTATCCCAAGTGCCAGCTTTGGAAGCTATATTCCACGCTGCCACATAGCCTGAGAAAGCGGGAGGGGGTTGATTTCTATTGAGTAGCTCTGAGTAGACAAAATAAAATGCTTTTGTTAATTCAAGGTCGTTGAGTATGGCGCTGGATGAAATAAGGATGGATTTGTAGTTTGGGAAATTGTGGGAAGCCCGAAAGCTTTTAGATTTGGGATTCCGCAGATGTGCCAGTTCCTATTCTAATGACTGATGATGACTGTCTCAGAGCTACTGCTTGGAATGGAGGTTTGCTGGAATGCTGACACCAAAGGTGATCGTACTAAGGCTTTATAAAGTGGTACTAATACTTCACGTGATATTGATTTTATACCTCTGCTAATGCAACAGAAGGATAGAATCAAGATCAGGTGAAGAATCGTGGGCGGTTATGGCAAAGGAATTGTCCATCCCCCGATAGCCTTGTTTCTGTTTTTTTGTTTTTTTTTTGACTTCCTAAAATATTGCATTCCTCTTCCATTCTTTTTGTTGTGATGTTTATAGGTGAACGAAGGCTTTTTGCTTTAAGACAGCGATAATTTGATAGAAGGGCACTCAAAAAACTCTCTGGCTCAAGCGGTAGGGTTTTTAGCTGTTCTTTCAATTCCCTCGGCTGCTGAAATTTTGCATTAATCATCGGGCCCAGTCCAGCTTAATGGAAAAATAATGTTAATTTCATTTCTCCCCTGATCCTAAAGCATGCCGTCTTTGCCAGAGGTGTTAGCTTTCCACAGACAATAATTGCCTCCCATCCTTTTTTGAAAGAAGAGATAACGGGAACGAAAGAAGAGAAAAGAAGAGGGATATCTTGAAAGCTTCTCTGTGGTTGTTGAATTACAACTTCCACCATCCCTGATCTCTAACCATAGGAGAGGCAGTTTGGTCTAGTGGATTAAGGTGCAAGCTTAGAAACCAGGAGACAGTGACTTCTAGTCCTGCGTTAGCCATTTGTCCAGAATGGTAATAGGGTGTCCTGGCTAAGCAAGGGGTTGGAATGGAAGACCTCCACAGCCCCTTTCAACTTTGTTATTCTGTATTCTGCATTAGCCATGAAAACCGGCTGGGTGAAAACTGGCAATTTCCTGGGCCAAGTCCCATTACTGATGGCCTGATTGATGGATTCAGTGCCCTGTTTATAGTGGTCCACTGGATATGTCTAGTTTAATGAAAAGAAGGACTAGGGGAGACAGGATAACAGTGTTTCAATATCTCAGGGGCTGCCCCAAAGAAGAGGGAGTCAAGCTATACTCCAAAGCACCAGAGAAGGCAGGACAAGAAGCAACGGGTGGAAACTAATCAAGGAGAGAAACAACCTAGAACTAAGGAGAAATTTCCTGAACAATTAATCTGTGGAACAACTTGCCTCCAGAAATTGTGATGTTCCAACACTGGAAGTTGGATAACCATTTGTCTGAAGTGGCGTAGGGTTTCCTGCCTAGGCAGGGGGTTGGACTAGAAGACCTCCAAGGTCCCTTCCAACTCTGTTATTCTAGTCTATTTCCTAGCAGTGACTTGGGGAAATGCACAAAAGATTAAAGCCACCACAAAAGATACCCGTCTCTAGAGCGCAGTCTTAAGAGAGGGAAAGGGAGACAGACAGAGAAATAATCCATACCATTTGAGGTGGGCGATGAGCTATTTGGGGGCAAATCTTATATTGTCCCCGTCTCCATGGGGGGGGGGGACCAGTTTGGGAAGGCCGGGGTTGTCCTTTATGATAGGAGGAATCCAACCCATCTGAAGGGCAGCAGGTTGGGACATGATACATTAATTGCACTGTATTTTGCTTTTCCTCTGGAGAGATTAAGGTAGTTATATGGGAGTTCCTCCTTCTCTCAGTTGGAAGAGATGGGCTCAAAGCCACCTGATTTGGTTCTTCTCAGCACTTGTCCAGCCCATAAACTTTCTACTACTCTGGTCTATTTGTAATCGCTATCCAGGGTACTGAACATGCTTTGTTCATCCGTCTATCTATAACTGTATCATCTATAACTATATCATCTATATCTACATCTATCCATCCACCCATCCATCCATCCATTGCTTCTTTCATCATTCCATCCATCCTCTCTCTCTCTAGCTATCCATCCATCCATCTATCCATCCATCTATTGACTACTCCATCGTTCTATCATTCTATCGTTCCATCCCTTCATCCACCCACCCATCCATCCATCCAATTTGCATAGCTGCCCATCACATAAACAAGTGACCTTGGGTGGCCTACAATCTGAACTGCTTCCCTTTGGCCTGGATGGTGTTTCTCCCATCTTGACCACTTTCAGATGTGTGGACTTCAACTCCCAGAATTCCATAGCCAGCCTGTTTGAGGGTTGAGGAGCACTGGCCTACACTGTCTCCAGTCCATTTGGCAGAAGCTTTAATGAAGGCAGCATCTACCTAACCATAGAGTGGGATCAGCAAGATAGTCCTCTAAAGGCAGTCCATTCATTCAGCATCCATCTTTCAGTATAGTTCCCTCTCTCTCTCCCCTCTCTCTTCCTCCCTCCCTCTTTCTCTCCCACTTCTCTCCCCCTCCCTCCCTCTCTCACTTTCTCTCTTTCTCTCTCTCTCCCCCTCCCTCTCCCTCCCTCCCTCCTTACAAATAATCTTTCCTTGCACCCCCTTCACACACTTCCCATCCACCCATCAAAATTTATATGGCTTACCAAAATAAAAAACCCCACATAAAAACCAATAAAAAGCAATAACACCCCACCCTACCCTGGGGACCACAATCAATTAATCAAATAAGCCACTCGATGGGCTCCACCCCACTCTGAGGGGCGGGGGGGGGGGGGCTGGCTGGTTGGCAAAACCCAGGAGGCCTCACGAAAAGAGCGTCAACGTTTAAATTCTCTACCTCTGGAAAACCCGAGACGGTTCTTTGTGGCTCTAGGACTTGTCATCTGCCCTGGGACTCCACAGCCCATCCCTCCTCTGGGCTGGATGCAGGGGATGGGCGTTGTAGTCCCTCTACCCGTGAAGGCAATCCAATACAAGCCACGTCGCAACCCAGGTGGGCTCACCGTAGTATAGTGGACAATACAGAGGATCGCGATCATCAGGAGGCCGATGAGGATGGACGCGATGGCAACCAGCAAAGCCGTGTGGCCCAGCCGCCTCGACCCTTCGATGTCTCCTTGATTGTAGCTATTTAGCGCCTGCGGGAAGAAAGAGGAGGAGGAGGCAGCCCCAGTTAAAAACCCCGACGTGAACTCTGCTCCCCTTTTGTTCCCGAGGACGTCAAGACCCATAAGGCACTCCTGCCTGGGAGAGCTTTTTTCCTGAAAAGGCTCGGCTGGGGAGGCCGTCGGTCTTCTTTGGAATTGGCCTCCCTTTTGGGTCAGGAAGTTAATGTCATGGCTCCGGTAGCTACCCCAATTAAATCACGAGTCTCGAGCCAAACTTCCAAAACTTCGAAAGGATTTATTGGGAGTTAACACGTCCGGCACTGCCTGGGTGTATTATAATTCATATTCTCCAATGGGACACCTCCATAGCCCAGAGTCATCCATCATACTCTCCAGTTAGAATTTTTGCGCGGCAGAAACTTCAGTCACCTAGTTACTATCTTTGAAAAAACTATTTATGGAATGCACTTTCCATTTCCAAGCTGCCGCACTGCTCCCCTTTCCCTTTCTGTTGGCAACTCTAAAAAGACCAAAGACGTATTTCATGAGTTGACAGTTAACATCTGCAGGGATTCATTTACCAACCGTGGCAAGGGGGGGTCATAAAAAAAATGGGACAAAACTCCAACGGCCTGACTTATGACCTCTTTTCAGACTTCCAACCCTTTCAGCCTCTCCCAGGATCACAATTCGGACACTGAAAGACAATAGGGAAACAAACTGATTTTTTTTAAAAACCCGAATTGTTTTTATTAGGGATGATATCGGGAAAAATGAGAGAATTTATGCATTTAGCGTGACGGGTTTTAACAGCAGCGAGGATTATCTTCGCACAATATTGGAATGATGAAGGAACACCTCAAGATGGAGAGATAATTAAGGAGAGAAGCAACTTAAAACTGAGGTGAAATTTCCTGACAGAACAATTAATAAGTGGAACAACTTGCCACCAGAAGTTGTAAATGCTTCAACACTGGAGGTTTTTAAGAAGAGATTGGACAACCATTTGTCTGAAGTGGTGTAGGGTTTCCTGCCCAAGCAGGGGGCTGGACTAGAAGACCTCCAAGGTCCCTTCCAGCTCTCTATTCTAATTCTAATTCTGTTCTATTCTATTCTATTTGATTCCCATAAAGAAACTTCCATAGACAGGACAAAAAGCAATGAGTGGAAATTAATCAAGGAGAAAAACAACCTACAGCTAAGGAGAAATTTACTAACACTGAGAACAATTCATCAGAGGAACAATTTGCCTCCAGAAGTTGTGGATGCTCCAACACTGGAAGTTTTTAAAAAGATGTTGGATAACCATTTGTCTAAAGTGATGTAGGGTTTTCTGCCTAGGCAGGGGGTTGGACTAGAAGACCTCCAAGGTCCCTTCCGACTCTGTTATTCTATTCTAAAAAAGGATATTAGACTGGGCAGAAATGGACAGACTTGCATTGAAAAATCAAACCGAAAGAAGACATGGAATATCCTCAAACTTGGAACTTATTTTACCAGCGGTTGGGGGGAAAAAAGGGGTGGAGAGAGTAAGAAGGGCATTTGTATTGTTAAGCGAATGAAATACCCTGACAACACGATGTTTATTAAGCACCCAGGAATGTAATTCACAGAAAATTCATAAAATGTATTTTTAAAAATAATAATTTGGACGCTTGACTCATATTTATGACTCGGTGGCAGCGTCCCGGGGGGGGGGAATCATGCCATCTTCTGACCAGCAGAGTCGACGGGGAGACACCAGATTCACTCAACGACGGCGTGACTAACTTTCAAAATGGCGTCGATTCACTCAACGACGGCGTGACTAACTTTCAAAATGGCGTCGATTCACTCAACAACAGCGTGACTCATTTAACAAATGCAGGGGTTTCACTTGAAAAACGGTGGCAAGAAAAGCTTGTCAAAACCAAACCAAACCAAACCAAGGTAAAACGTACTTTGCCGTTGTCTCGCTTAGCAACAGAACTTTTGGGGCTCCGTTTAGGTCGATTCGGGGGGGGGGGGGAATAAAATGGCACGTAACCAGCCGTGTACGAGAGACAATTAACGCCCCAGTTAAAAAGGCACAAAGGTCGCCAGTTAAATCCAGGCCTTTGAGGACAACCTTTCCTCGCTCTCTCTCAAACGTGAAGGTGTCCCACGACACAAACAGATCCCGTTACAGCAAGGGGACACCGAAGCCGACGCAGGCAACAACTCGAGTCTCAGGGGCCAGGCCTGAAATCTTGGACCTCTCTGATGTCACGAGTAAGACGAGCCTGAGGAGAAATAGCCGTGAGGGAGCTAAAAGTCTGTAGAGGTTCTCAGTCCTCCAGGTCACGGCTGTCCCAAAGGTGGGATTTTTTTTTTTTCAGGAGGCCATTTTGTTTTGAAGACGTTTCGCTTCTCCTCTGAGAAGCTTCTTCAGATCCAACTGGATGGTGGGGAAGGGAAGGATTGATACTCCTTGCAGACAGCTGGTCATTTGCATCCTTTCAGAGGGTCATTGAGGCCACTTGGAGGTGTGTCTTTGTCATCAGAGTCACCTGATTGGTGCAAATGGGTGTGGAGCCTTCTGACCGGATGCTGGGGAAGAGAAAGGTTTATATTCCTTGCAGACAGCTGGTCATTTGCATCCTTTGAGAGGGTGGTTGAGGCCACTTGGAGAGGTTTCTCTCTGTCCTACAGGAACCACGTGCACCACTCCCTTTTAAATCCCATCCTGGGAAAAGCACGATGGGTATTGTCTATCCACCTTGGAGGGTTTCCCAAATCTTCGGAGCTGTTGCAGTCAGAAAGCGAGTGAGGGGGTGGCGGTGCAAGAGTTCCTCCCCACCCCCGTCTCGCCAATCTTGCCTCCCTCCTTCCACATCCTGTTGGCTGAAGGAGCCTTCCTCATATCTCAGTGGATTTGGCCAGGCTCCCTGTATCTCCTGGAGCTTCAAGAAGAAGCGGTTGTCTTTTTTCCCCCTAAGTAATGCACTGCAGTCCATTAAGGCTGCTAAATGCCTTAGTCTGGGTCTTGGCCCAGAATCCTCCTCCCTGTCTGGAATCGATAGAAAAAGGGTGTGACTTCTGCTGCAGAGGGCAGGAGAGCACAGCCTGAACTTCTGCTGGTCACCCCCCCAAGCAGCTTCTGCCTCTACAGCAAAGGGTCTTCAAACGTGGCAAGTTCAAGACTTGTGGACTTCAACTCCCAGAATTCCTGAGCTAACATGGCTGGAGGAGGAGGGATTCTGGGAGTTGGAAGTCCACAAATCTTAAAGCGGTCAAGTTTGAAGACCCCTGGAATAGATAGATAGAGAAAGAGGTAGAATAGATAGATAGATAGATAGATAGATAGATAGATAGATAGATAGATAGATAGATAGATAGATAGATAGATGATAGATAGATATAGAGGGAGGGAGGGAGAGAGAGAAAGAGAGGATAGGATAGATGGATGGATGGATGGAATAGAAAGAGATAGATGGATGGATGGAATAGATAAAGAGAGGTAGAATAGATAGAAAGAGAGAATAGATAGAATAGACAAAGAGAGGTAGAATAGAGATAGATAGAATAGATAGATAGAGGGAGAGAGAAAGATGGAATAGATAGAATAGATAGAATGAATAGATAGATAGATAGATAGATAGATAGATAGATAGATAGATAGACAGAGACAGACAGACAGACAGACAGATGGAATAGAAAAAGAGGTAGAATAGATAGAAAGAGATGGAATAGATAGATAGATAGATAGATAGATAGATAGATAGATAGATAGATAGATAGGATAAAGAGAGAGGATAGATAGATAGATAGGCAGACAGACAGATAGACAGACAGATAGAATAGATCAAGGGTCTTCAAACTTGGCCAAGTTTAAGACTTGTGGGCTTCAACTCCCAGAATTCCTGAGCTGACATGACCGGAGGAGGAATTCTGGGAGTTGAAGTCCACAAGTCTTAAAGCTGTCAAGTTTGAAGACCCTCTTGCTCTACAGAGAAGACGGGGTCAATCTCTTCTCCAAAGCACCAGCAGGAAGTAGTGGGTGGAGACCGACCAAGGAGAGAAGCAACCTGGAACTAAGGAGGAAATTTCCTGAAAGTCAGAACAATTAATCAGTGGAACAACTTGCCTCCAGAAGTTGTGGATTCTCCCACACTGGAGGTTTTTTAAGAAGAGACTGGACAGCCATTTGTCTGAAGTGGTGTAGGGTCTCCTGCCTAAGCAGGGGGCTTGACTAGAAGACCTCCAAGGTCCCTCCCAACTCTGTTATTCTCCAAAGCACCTGAGGGCAGGACAAGTAGCAACGGATGGAAAGTAATCAAAGAGAGAAGCAACCTAGAACTAAGGAGGAATTTCCTAACAGTGAGAACAATTAACCGGTGGAACGGCTTGCCTCTAGAACCTGTGGATGCTCCATCATTGAAGGCTTTAAGAAGAGACTGGACAGTCCTCTGTCTGAAATGGTATATGATTTCCTCATTGAGCCACCGTCATAAATACGAGTCAGTCTGCCAGAGAAGAGCAACCAGGAGGATGAGGGGACTGGAGGCTAAAACATACGATGAACGGTTGCAGGAACCGGGCCTGGCTAGTCTAGGGAAGAGAAGGACCAGGGGAGACAGAAGAGCAGTCTTCCAGTATTTGAGGGGCTGCCACAGAGAGGAGGAAGGGGTCAAGCTGTTTTCCAAGGCACCCAAAGGCCAGACAAGGAATAATGGATGGAAACTGACCAAGGAGAGATTCAACCTGGAAATAAGGGGGAATTTTCTGACAGTCAACCGAACAGAAGTTGCCCTCGGAAGTTGTGGGAGCTTCATCACTGGAGGCTTTCAAGAAGAGACTGGACTGCCATCTGTCAGAAATGGTGCAAGGTCTCCTGCTTGGGCGGGGGGGGTTGGACTAGATGACCTACAAGGTCCCTTCCAACTCTGTTAATCTATCAGTCTAAAACTCCAGGAGGCAAGCTATTCCAGTGATTAAATTGTTCTTACTGTCAGGACATTTCTCCTTCTAGCTTGGACCTCTCTTTAACAAACTTCCGTTACTTTCTTTTCCCGTCCTCTGGTGTTTTGGAAAAGAAGTCAGCGAATCCCCCCTTCCCTGTGGCAGCCCCTCAATTCCTTGAAAGGCTGCTGTTATTAGAAGCAGTCCTCACCTGGCGTCTGGTGTTCAAGGATCAAATACATCCTTTAAGCACTGAAGGCGTTTTGTTCCCAACCTCCCCCAGATCTCCAGCATTTGAACCCTTTCCTTTTGGCGAAGGGCAGCCTCAGGAATTCCAAAGGGGATGTAGGCCAACTGGTTGAGAATTCTGGGAACCGCAGTTTATTATTTGGAGAATGCCAGGGTGGGGATGGGAAAATAGAAAGATGTAATATGGCTCAAACATGTTCCAGCTCAGGAGTGTTGTGTTGGATACTGGAAAAGGCAGGTGGTTACCCAACATCTGTCTGTTCCGAATTTCCCCGTTTCTATTTGCAACCTCATTATTATTATCTATTCACCACAGTGTGATGTCACAGCTGCTAGTTCTTTAGCTGGCATTGGCCTTTACATCTATCAAGATCTTCCTTCCAAGAATCTAGGATTATTTTTTCGTAGGAGAGGGGAAACAACAGCTGGATTCACAGTCTGAGAGTGGTGGAAATTTACCAATTCAAGTCCTTGCAAGAATAACAGAGTTGGAAGGGATTCGGGAGGTCTTATAGTCCAACCCCCTTCTCAAGCTAAACTAAACTAAACCCTCAAGTAAAGACCTGAAAATTATTGAGGTAGCACCTAAGAATCTAGGCAGTTCGAAAAGGGGGTAAAATTAGGGGGTGCAGGCCTGATAAATTCAATATTTCTTAAATTCAATATTTCTAGATATGGTTGAAATCTTTTAGGTACCTCTCTGAGGGCTTCAATCACGATTGGCACAACAAAGATCACCTTTTCCCTAAGTACGACTTTGATCTTCAAATACTGGTGCTTTGTCATTTTTTTTTTTACCCCCAAGTCTTTCTCTTTAATCCCAGCATCTCCCAAAATAGCCACGTCAATGAACCAATCTTTCTTCCTTTCCACCAACAACAAAAATATACACTCAAAAGGAGATCCAACGATCTGTCTTTAGAACTGGAATATACTCAACCCAGAGTGATAGACTGAGAACTAAACCCCAGCAAAAGAGAAGCAAACAATTTAAACTACTTATTGTTTTTTTGCAAGAGATTGCAAAGGCTGGTCTTTTGGCTTCCAAGTGACGTTGCTTGAGAGAGTGAAGAATGTTAAATGGCCTTCTAGGTGATCTGAAATTATTTATTTTATTTTTCAGTTTTAAAAATAATCTTACTCATCGGCTATTTCTAGACCTCTAGAGTGGAAGAGCAAACTTTTAAGATCCGTGGGGGTGACATCCTTTAAATTTGCAAACAGTTCAAATGTGCTTGCGTGGAACAGAGACTGATATTTCTGAATCTTCCAGTGTAAATAGCAAAAGAAGGGCTAAGAGAGACAGAGCCATTAAAAGTGAGCTTCTAGCCATCTCCAGTTCCCATATACACCTTTATAGCTTAATTCTAATTATTCAGTTTCAAGTTAGACCTCAAGGGGACTGCCAGACAGACAGAAGGTCCACCTCGCGGTGAATCCAGGAAGAAGTAACATAAGAGGAAAGAAAGAAAGAAAAAAGATCTATATACAGGTAGTTCTCAACTTGTGAGTTACAATTGAGCCCAACGTTTCTGTGGTTCAGTGAGACATTTGTTAAGTGACATTTTGCCCCATTTTACTATCTTCCTGGCCACCGTTTTTAGTGAATCACTGCATTGGGTAAGTTAGTAACCTGGTTGTTAAGCGAAATTATGGCTATCTCGTGGATTTTGCTTCGTCAGAAGGTCGCGAAAGGGGAATCACAGGTTTGCAAGCAGCTGAATGTTGATCACATGGATCAGTGGTGGGATTCAAAAATTTTTTCCTACCGGTTCTATTTTATCAATGGTTAGACAAAAACACATGGTAATGAAATATATTAGGAAATTTCATAATATAAGACTAGTAGAATGATATAGAATATAATATAAAAATATATAACCATTGGATGAATGCATAATATAAATTCATATAAAATTTAGAATACTCTGTATAAAATGATGGAATAATAGTTTAGTCAAATGAACGATTAATAACTGACAATGTATAAATATATGTTGGATTGATAATGTGAGAATCTATACAAATTGTAAGTGAGGACTATGAGAGGATAGCACAAAAGATTTGTAACCAACTGACACACTGTACGTATATAACTGGAAGATGGTTTTATGTTTTTTTATGTTTTGTGTTTGTTTTGAAAATAAAAAAAAATTGGAAAAAAAAATTACTACTGGTTCTGTGGGCGTGGCTTGATGGGTGTGGTATTGACTTGGTGGGCGTGGTGTGGCTTGGTGGGCGTGGCTTGGTGGGCGTGGCAGGGGAAGGATACTGCAAAATCTCCATTCCCTCCCCACCCCACTAACCTGCTTTCCAGCTCCGTTCTCCTGTGGTGGGCAACAAATGAAGACCCAGCTGATCAGCTGGGACTCAATGGGAGGCGGAGAATAGATGGGGTTGGTGGGGCCAGTCAGAGGCGGGATTTGCCGCTTCTCTGAACTACTCAAAATGCCCGCTACTGGTCCAAACCAGCTGAATACCCACCTCGGATGGAGATGCTACCAAGATGGTAACTATTAAAAATGGTCATAAGTCCCTTTTTTCCACGCCGTTGTAGCTTGGAACTAAATGAACCATTGTAACTCCAGGACTACCTATACCATAAAATGGTGGTTATTGTTGTCACCTTTAACTGGACAAAACAGCCCATCCTCCAGCCACAACTTTTGAACCCAGATTCCTTAAACTGACAGAAAGCATCCAAAATCTGCGGTCCATGACTCCTCCCAGGATGTTGAAGTTTGGCAAAAAAAATTTACAAAACATTTTAGGACATAATATAAGATGCCATAGGACGCTTCCTGAAACCGGGCTAAAAAAGGGTGGGCTATTTTTCAAAGCAGGTCCATCCCTGGGTGTATTTATTTATTTACCCAATGGAGAAACGGCCCCTCCCTTTCCAAAGAGGAGGTATGAATTTTAAAGAAATTGTTCTGGGATGCTCTTAGCTCTGCCGTGGTCGAAGGCGCTGAGGAATCTGATCAGGAAATATTTCTGAAAACGGTGACCCAACAGGCCGTGGGGATTGTCTAATAAATAATAAACACGATAATTGCATAACAGGATATTCCTGCATGTTGGGGTTTGTGAACATTGAAGAGCATCCATTAGCAAGTGGAAATTGGAGGTCCAGATTTCTCGGCTGCTGTGATAACAGCAATGGAATTTTTCATCCCCCATCCTGCCTTGCCCCACTATTGGCAGGGATAAGGGGAGTTAGGGACCCTTAGTGCAACGTTTCATCATCCAAAGTAAGTAACATGATCAGTGCTAACACTGATAACCATCTGCAAGAAAACCACCAAGCTCAGAGAGCACCAAGGACCCAATAATTCTTCTCTTCTCCTCCTCCTCCTCCTCGCAAACCCCATTCCCTTCTAGCACTGATGATGATCCCTAGTTGAGTCATGAAACGTCTGCAAGAAAACCACCCAGCTCAGAGAGCACCAAGGACCCCTCATGTCACCCCACCCCTTGCTACACATATTATCCTTTATTGATAACAGAAGCTGGACTGCAGCAGCATCTATAGGGACTATCCAGTTCTGCTTATCTCAAAAGTTATATTTTGGAGCATGAATGGAGAAGCTGTTACATTTTTCCACGCTTTGCATTTTTAAAAATATGAATATAATAGTCATCCCATGCCATGAGTTTAGGCCAAACGGACATAGATTGGGGGGTGGGTGGGGCTTTCAGGTACACAACTGGCTTACGGGAAGTATTTCAACTGTTGGGGATTTGAGAATTCCTGTCCCTGGAATTCCTCAGGATCTCTTCTATAAATTCCCCACCTTTGCAATGTTTAATACTCCTACTCCACTTCCAGACTTGAGCTGGGAGGCCACTTAGGGTAAAAGCCCCCCACCCACCGCCCAACTCCACCCCACCCCACCCCCGCTGTTAAAGCGTCACCAAGCAAACCAAGCTGGCATATTTTGGAAAGGAGACTTGGAAGTCTTTAGAGACGCGATCCGGGTTAACCGTTGCACATTTGCGACAACTAGAGCCCCTACCGAGCTGCCACTCGCGGGATCCGCACCTCAACCAATTCCTAAGCAACGCGCCCGGCAGGATCCGCGCAGCGGCTACCGGCGTCCGTCGCCTCCCAAACGGGAAGACGCAGCGCCTGAGCCTGAAACAGTTCCCTCTCCGTCGCGCCTTTTGGTTGCCCCCTTACTGTCCCGACGCCAGAGCACCTGGAGAGCCCGTCTCCTTGATCCCCGAGAGGCCGAGCCCCCCCTAGACCCCGCGCCCCCAAATCCCCTTTCCCTGCAGTTTGCCCCTCGGCTTTAGGCCCCCCCAAGACGCAGATGGAGCGATTCGTGCGTAAAAGCGCACAAGCGCCTTTGGCCCAAAGGGAAGAAGAGAGAAAGGGTGACCACGGAGGCGAGGCGAGGCAGGGGGGCGTTTGAGAAGGGGACCAAGGGAACAACGGGTGGGGGGACTCCGGTGGGGTCTCCTCCTCCACCCCCGGCCTCGGTTTGCAGGGGTGCCCAGGCGCATGGGATGTCTCCCCGACGGCCAGGATGGGTCCTGGCGACGTTGGGCAGGGCGCGGAGTGTCAGGGGGGTTCCCCGCCCGGTCCCCCGGCTCACCATGACCGAAAAAACGAAGGCGGCGATGTTGACGGGGTACGCGGGGCAGAAGCAGGACAGAATGCTCAGCCACAAATAGTTTTTGGGCGGGGGGCGCTGCTCCTCTTCCTCCTCGGGGCCCGGGATCTCCTCGGCGCCGTTCAGCTGGAGCTCGGCGCCGCTGCCGCTCTTCTCCAAGCCCCGCTTGAGGTCCGAGTAAGCCGGGGGAGGCGACGAGCCCGCCATGGGGGGATTGTGGGGAAGACGGAGAAGAGGCGAAAGTTGGACGGCGGAGAGAGCGCAAGGCAGGCGGGAGGAGGAGGAGAAGAAGAAGAAGCGAGGGAACTGGCTCAGTCCGGGCTCCTTCCTCTGCCTTCGCCTCGGGAACGACGGCGTTGCTGCTGGTCAAAAAATAAAAAATAAACCCCAGCGGAGACCAGTTCGCTCCGGACAACCGCTCAGGTTTCTATCCCGGAGCGAAGACGCGCCCGCCGGTCTGTGCCAAGGCGCGCCTGGAGCTCCGCGCTGCCTGGAGCCCCCACCCCACCCCACCTCGCACCAGCAGAGGCTTGAGGGGGGGGGTTGTAGAGAGAGACAGACCTGATTGGCCGAAGAAAGCCCTCTTCGACCCAATCAACGTTGGGGAAAGGCGGGGAGACCACCCGGGGGAGGCTGGGGGGGGACCCCGAATGGGAAACTTGAACGGAGTGGAATGGAGGAGAAGGAAGGAAGGAAGGAAGGAAGGAAGGAAGGAAGGAAGGATAGAGAAGATAGAATAGAATAACAGTAGAACAGAATGGAATGGAATAGAATGGAATAGAATAGAATGGAATGGAATGGAATAGAATAGAATAGAATAGAATAGAATAGAATAGAATAGAATAGAATAGAATAGAACAGAATAACAGTAGAATGGAATGGAACAGAACAGAACAGAACAGAATAGAATAGAACAGAATAGAATAACAGTAGAATGGAATGGGATAGGATAGGATAGGATAGGATAGAGAAGATAGAATAGAATAGAATAGAATAGAATAGAAATCCTTATTTCTATTGCTCAACCAATGATACCAATTGTCCCAAATTTTATAATACTCCAATTCTTCTTTATCCTTTAATTTTAATGTAAGTTTATCCATTTCAGCACAATCTAAAAAATTTTTTGAATTACTAATTCCTCTGAAGGCGTGTTATTTTGTTTCCAAGATTGAGCGAATCTGTCAATATATGTAGCTGTCAATATATGTAGCAAAATATATTTAATCTTTTCCCTATGTTTCCCTTTAATTATTCCCAACAAGAATAATTCTGGTTTAAACTCTATCTGCTCCTCCACTATTTCTTGTATACAACCCCATATTTTTAGTCCAGTATTTTTGGGCTTCTGGGCAGGACCACCACATATGATAGAAGGTACCCTAGTTCTGTTTGCATTTCCAGCATTTCGGATTCATGTTAGGGTACATTTTAGCCAATCTCATTGGTGTCAAATGCTACAAAAGCCTTCGTTAACTTACTTATAGTTTGCTAAACGGACCAGAGGAGAAACCAATTGTGAACAGAGAACAACTCCTGTAAAGTTGATAACTGTCCATCTATCTCTTTCTGTATGACAGTCACAGCAAAGGGAGGATCAGGAAGGGAGCCAAAATAATAACGCACATAGACCTTGACTTATAGGAGTTCATTTAGTGACTATCTGAAGTCACAACAGTTCTGCAAAAAGCGACTTATGACCATTTCCCCCACTTATGAGGTTGCAGCATCTCTCTGGTCACACAATCCAAATTCAGAGGCTTGGCAACCGGCTGGTATTAATAATGATGGTTGCAGTCCTTTATTATTTATAAGGGCTTTGTTTGCATAAACAGGAAATTAGAATATTAATTCCACAATAATGGAGGGGGGGGAAGGAGGAAGAGGAGAAGGAGAATAATATCCAAGGGTCAAGCTTCAATTCCTGGTCAACACTACTTGTGAATTATACCTTTAATTATTTCTTGGATTTAATCTTTATACCTAAGGATTGGCAAGGCAGCTCCATTAAGGAAATGCCAGCAAATCATGTAAATGGTAGCTCTCCAGGTCTGGACAATGCCTCTTAGTGAGATGGGTGGGCGTATACATTTCATAATAAAATAGAAAATGAGTAAAACTAAAAAGTTTAAGCTGAGTTAGATGGAGCCCTTCCCTTGCAAAGAATCTCAGAATCTCAGCCCGGGCTGTAAATATTCCGATTCAGCAATGGAGGCTTTTTAGAATCCCCCCAAAGACAGACTCATAAATCAATCTGCAGAGAAAATTCCATTAACGTGCTTTCTCCCATGGTAGAAACCCTTGGCTGGATTCTCACTGGGTGCCACTGTGCTGAATCATCTCCATTTTGCTGTTAGATGCTCGCCTTTCCAAAAGGTTTATATAACCCTCCATGGCCAAGCGAAGGAGGCAAGCTGGAAGGGCCTTCGGGATGTTTGAATGCCTTTTTCGAGCGCTTATGAACTCAGAAGGAGAATATCCAAAGGAGGGGTCCTTGGAGCTCTCTGAGCTTGGTGGTTTTCTTGCAGACGTTTCATCATCCAAACTAGGTAACAACATCAGTGTTAGAAGAGAATGGGGATTGTGGAGAGGAGGAGAAGGAAAGGGAAAAAGGAGGAGGAAGAGAGGAGGAGAAAGAAGGAGGAGAAGAAAGAGGACTATGGGGTTGTTGATGCTCTGAACTTGGTTGTTTTCTTGCAGACGTTTCATTACCAAACTAGATAACAACATCAGTGCTAGAAGGAAATGGGGTTTGCGGAGAGGAGGAGGAGAAGGAGAAGGAGGATACCCTAAATAAACTACAGTTTAGGGAAATGGCCCCCAACCTTATCTATCTATCATCTATCTATCTATCTATCTATCTATCTATCTATCTATCTAATCTATCTATCTGCGAAATACCACTCACGCATCATCACAAAATCTCCAGAACCGTCAAGCCTACAAACTTGAAATTTGGCACGTATGATCCTCTTGCCTTCTAGGGGCTCACTAAGAAAGGATTTTTCGAAATGACCATCAGAGCATTTAGTATTTCCTATATTATTATTATTAACACGCTCTGATGCTAAGGAATTCTACTCCCCCTCCTCACCTGAAAAGAAATCTCTTCCCAATGCAAAACACAAGCAGAGGAGAGGAGTTTCAGTTTCAGTTTCACAGCAGCAAGCAGCTGTAGTACAGAACAGTTGAGCTAAGCCACGCCCAGGCTCCTTGCTGTCTCCTGCAGCAAATGCTGCTTCAGTTTCCATGTTTCAGTTTCCAAACAGCCCTCAACTCTCTCACATACTGACAGGACGATAACGATGGATGCTGGTGGGCAGAGGCACCATTTCCTCCTCCTTATTTTCCTCCCCAAAAACTAAGCCCTATCACATAGTTTTGTAGAGAAGCACGGGGATCGAGCTAGTTTATTATTACTTTTGCCAGTTTGAAGGACTGCATTGGTTAGCAGGTGGCAGCATCTGCAAGCTTTTCTTTTTTTAAAATTGCAAAGCAAAAAATTGCATTTAAAAGAATAGAGCCTGGCTTGAAATGAAAACACCCCCAAAATTTTTTCACCTGCCCCATAAAAGGGAACCCCAAAAGCAAATCGATGCAATGATTTCTCTTGCCCATTGTTCCGATTCTGGGTTTATTAAGAGCTAAGCCTTTTCTATTCAATTAAGGCTTTTTTTGAGTGCGATTCTTAGTGTTTTTCCCATGTTTTTAAATTGGATTTTAACTGATTTATGCATTTTGCCATCATCTGCTTTGGGTGGGGCTGCAGTGTATCAGGGTAGATTGTAAATTGCCATTATAAATTCAACACACTCCCTCCAGAAATCTTCAATCATCCACAGCCAGCACAATCGAAGTGGTTCTACGTCGCTATTTTTTTTTAAAACTTGTCAAATTTAAGATTTGTGTGGATTTCAATTCCCAGAATTTCCCCAGCCAGCATGTGTTCTGGGAGTTAACAACATCCACACATCTTAAAAGTTGCCAGGTTTGAAAAATACGGATTTGTGCCATCAAGCTTAGACAAAACAAGGCAAACTTTTGAGTCGAGATCAGCTAAAAGCTATCTGTGATAGAAAGAATGATATTACTAAACCTATTCTGGCTTAATCTATGATTTACAGAACCACACTTTGTAGATTTGCAGAGTAAACTGTAATCTGGCCATCAATCCTGAGGTTTGGAAGTTAGTGAGATCATCAGTATGAGTTTCTTGTTTTAATGATTGAAGTTGGGTGTGGTTTAGCCATCATTAATTCTTATTTGTGTGTGTGTGTGTGTGTGTGTGTACTAATTTGGCTAGTTGCACTGCCTGGAGTTTCATTTGGGAAGTAGATTAATATTAACATAACTAATAACTGGTTTCAGTTATAATTAATATAAATTGATATTGTATAATAAATTGTAGGTAACGGGTTTCAAACCTGGCTTGTTTGTGGTTTAATGTGTTGTGTAAACATGCCTATTTTTTTGCCTCACTCCGTACAGTAATTATTAAACTAAAGAAACTCAAATATTACAGAAATTCCTGCACTTTTTTCAGAAATGTGTGTTGTTACACCAGAGTACATAATGCAAGGTTAATTATGAAAACCTGCTTTAATCTTGGTTTGTAAGAACATGGCTAATGAAATCTGCAGACCAGATACATGGCTGGATTCCGATGACATAAGGGGTTGCAAGCTCACCAACTACCATGTAGTCGAGCGCACACTCTGCCACTAGGGCCTTTTTCTGACAAATCATGATTAAGTCAACAAGTTGCATCAAGTCTTGCAGGAAACAAGCGTCTCATCAAAGCTGCAATTTGGCTGGCTTGCTTTGGCTCAGCATATTGGGCGAACGGGGACAATACGGCTTGCTAACCACGAATCATAGCTTGTTCATGGTTTATTCCATAAGCCACGGTTAAGGTGAGGCTAGTTTAGCGCCCCCTGGAAATCTGGACTCTTTCTGCCAACTTTTGCGCAGTCCAGAAGTTCCAGAGGGGGGAGGGGCAGAGGGGAGAAGGCGCCATTGGCCGGCGGCCCCCGCCATTCAGCGAGAGGGCGGGACGAAGCGCCGGATTGGCAGCGCGGGCGACCTAAGGCGCGGCGTTCGTCCCAGGCGCGTCGTCCCAATGTTGGCGGCGGAGGGCGGGCGCGGCGGCGGCTCGTCCAATGGGCGCGTCCGGACCGCCGCCGCCGTCCCTGAGGGGGCGGCCGGGGCTCAGAGCCGCGGCGGCGGCGGCGGCGGGGCTGGCGGGCGGAGGCTGCGCGCAGACCGGATGGGCTCGCCGGAACCCCGCGCCCCGCTGGCCGCCCAGGACGACGACGAGGCGGCCGAGGCGGCGGAGCACGACGGAGGCGAGCTGGACTCGCGGAGCTCGGCGGGCGACGCCGGCGGCGGCGAGCGGCGCGTCGACAAGTTCGGCTTCCTGGTGGCCGACGGGCAGGACGCCGGGGACCCTCCGGAGGCGCCGTGAGTGGCCGGGCGGGGGAGCCGGGCGCTCTGCCCATGGGCAGGGGCCCTGTCGCCCTCAGCAGGGCTGCCCTTCGGGGAGGGGAGGGCGGCGCTCTTGACGTGGGCAGAAGTCCTCTCGGTGGTGGTGGGGCGCTGGTGGAGGGACACTCCGGCCATCAGGGCTGCTCTTCGGCGGGTGGCACTCTGGCCGTGGGCAGGGGCACTCTTGCCACGGGGAGAAGTGCTTGGGGGGGGCTGGAGGGGCGCTCTTCCCATGGGCAGGGCTGCTCTTCAGTGGGTGGCACTCTTGCCATGGGCAGGGGCACTCTCACTATCAAGACTGGTGACGGTGGCACTCTGGCCATGGGCAGAAGTGCTGAAGGGGTTTGGAAGGGCACTCTTGGCATGGGCAGAAGCACTCCTGGGCATTGGAGAGGCACTTTTGCCATGGGCAGGGGCACTCTCGCTATCTAGGCTGCTCTTTGGTGAGCATCGAGTGGCACTCTTGCCATGGGCAGAAGTACTCATGGGGGTTGGAGGGGCACTCTATCCATGGGCAGGGGCACTGTTTGTAGGGGTGATGGAGTTAGCACTTTTGCCATCAGAGCTGCTCTTTGATGAGTAGGTTGAGTGGCACTCTTGCCATGGGGAGACATACTCATGGGGGTTGGAGGGGCACTTTTGCCATGGGCAGGGGCACTGTTGAGAGAGAGAGAGAGAGAAAATGGGGGGGATACTGGGCTCTCCATCTATGGGCAGGGGCCCTCTTGTAGGAGAGAACATTTTGCAAAAGCCCACGGGGTCGGGAGGGCACTCTTGCCATGGACTTTGGCCACCTTTTTTCCAGACTCTGCCTAAGCCGCCTTAGTCTGGCCTTGGGGACAGCTCTCTCTCCCCTTGCCTAGAATCCCACTTCTCTTTAACAAGCCAGCTTTAAACCATTGTGTAGATCAGGGGTCTCCAGCTTCTGCAACTTGAAGAAAAGGGTGGACTTCAACTCCCAGAATTCCCCAGCCAACCAGCCACAAATCCACATGCTGGCTCGGGAATTCTGGGACTCGAAGTCTTCAAATGGCCAAGGTCAAGACAGCCCTGGCTTAGACATAGGGCGAAGGCACTCTTCACATGCTCAGGTGCATTCTCCTTTCCCAAGCTTGTATTCTGTTCTCTCGGAGCCCCGATTTAAAGTGCTTTGCTATTTCCTGAACTCAAGAAAAGCAAGGAAACTTAGATCGTGTGACATTAAACTCAACAGATTCAGCGTGTTGGGTGAATTTGGTAACCTGGTTATAAAAGCAGTAACGCTAAGGCGGTCAGACGATTACATCTTGGCTTGGCCTTCTTTTAGCCTTTCCAAAGTTAGCCGGTTTGTTTATTTTATTTCTAACAGCAACTCCGCAAATGTGAAATGCGGTACGTAAAAACACTGAGTTTTTTTTTTAGTTAAAGAACTGAAAAATAGAGAAGGGAAAAAAAAGATCTCAACCAACAAAAACGCAGAAGAGAGAAAAACAAAGTTAGTTTTAATAAGAGATAGCCAATAAAGGAAGTTTTAGTGTGGTCTTAGAGAAAATGTTTGCATTGTTTAGCGAGGTTTTATTTGTGTATATGTTCACACCTGTGTGTGTTGGGGATTATGTGACAGAGCAAGAGGTTGAGTTTGAACTGCTTGCTGATTTATGAAACTCACTCAAAACATTTTGAGTAAGTTTTCGTTTCGGGACTTGGTTTGCAAGCTGTGATTTTGAAGCATATGGAGCTGTGCCCAGGTGGGAAAAAGTGGGCCTTAATTGCTTTCTGTTTCTTTTCCAGCCTTTCCATATTGGGGGGAAAAAAAGGACTTACTCTTGAGTAAACCTTGCTGTAAACCTGCTCTTTGGCAGGTACCAATTCCTGGGCTGGCACAAAACATGCTAAGAGAACCTGGAGAGGCAGGCATGGGAAATGATTAATATTCCACTGACATATGTATTTTTTTTTAAAGATTAATCACACGAGGAACTAGGTATACCTGTTCTGTGGAGCCCTTGTGCAATTGTGCAAAAACAGTTGTGCATTCAACTTTCTTTCTAGCCCTTCCTCCCTTTAAAACCAACTCTCTGGTTTGGTAGGCTGGGCATATGGGGGTGTAAATCCTTTGGGGCTGGCTGTTGGAATGGAGAATTAAGGAATTTGGTTGGTTTAGGACTGCTTTCCTTCTTAATAATAAAATAAGGTGATTTTCTTTTATTTTTTGGTTCCCTGTCTGCTGTTATCCTAAGTTCTGGATGACTTGCTATGGGAGGGACATTGAGGGTTCCAGCTGTTATCTGGCTGTGTGTTTTGTTAATGATGCTTTTCAGGAAGAGGAACAGGTTGTGATGTTAAAAACAGCAATTTTCCAGGTGAAGAACATGAATAAAAATCATTTTCAGGACATGGCAAGGTTTTGTCCAGCTGGCTGAAAGTTAAAAAAAAGGAAGAGAAGAAACAATGGTGTGGATTAACAGATATAACAGATTATCAGAGTTGGAAGGGACCTTGTAGGTCATCTAGTCCAACCCCCCACCCAAGCGGGGTGACCCTGCACCATTTCTGACAAAGGGCAGTCCGATCTCTTCTTGAAAATTGTGTGAAACAGAAGTCAGAACTGGTCCTTGACTTGCATCCGTTCATTTAGTGACCATTCGAAGTCAACGACACTGAAAAGTGGTTTAGGACTGTTTTTTTTCGCTCTTACGAACCCTTCCAGCATTCCCACGGTGACTGGATCAAAATTCAGGCATTTGGCAACTGACTTGTATTTATAACGGTTGCAGTATCATGGGATCCACTTCTGCGACCTTCTATGGGGAAGCCAGATTCGCTTAACAACCGTGGACCTAATTTAACAACTGCAGTGATTCATTTAACAACTGTGGCGAGAAGAGTTGTAAGACGGGGCGAAAGTCACTTCCCGGTTGTCTCACTTAGCAACGTTAATTCTGGGTTTGATTGTGGTCGTAAGCGGAAGGAAGGAAGGCCTGAAGTTTAAGAAGAAGATAAGGGAAGGAAGGAAGAAAAAAAGGAAGGAAGCTCTGACATTTAAGAAGAAAATAGGGAAGGAAGGAAAAAGGGAAGAGAAAAAGAAGAGGAGGAAGGAAGGTCTGGAGTTTAAGAAGAAAATAGGGAAGGAAGGAAGGAAGGAAGGAAGGAGGGATAGTTATACAAATCTTAAAAAGCAGACTTAAAGCCAGAGTAAAGGGAACATTGAACAACATGCCATAAGCAGTAAATGTTTCACTTAGCAACAGAAACTTCGAATTCCATTGTGGTCATAAGTCAAGGACTTTAAAGTGCTTCTTCCCAGTTGGATAAGATGGTTTTTCAAAAGCAGCCATTAAAGTTCGGGTGAAATTACACTGTTTTCCACTTTAACTTTGGCTTCTCTTCCCTTCTGACGTGTTTTGGAAGCTTTTATGACCCAGGTGCCAACAGCATGTCTGGCTTTCAGGAGCCTCTTGCATTATCGGATTAAAGGTTGTGTGTTTTCATGCTGTCTTCTAGATATTTATTTATTTTTCTTCTTCCCTCTCACCTGCTAGCAAGACAAATTTCCCGTAGTGCTCCATTTAAATACCCTGGAAACAAACAAACGCAAACAAAAATTAATCATAGTGTTTCCTTCAACTGAGTGCTGACAAGGCAACAACTCGGCTGCAATTAGAGCTCAGGTTTAAAGGCTAATCCGGCTTGTGACTGTTTTCTCTATCAAAGCCCAAGTCCGGGATAGAGAGGGGGCAGTCTCTTCCCCCCACCCACAAATGCAAGCAGTATTTACAACTCCCACTCTTCCGTTTAGTGACCCTTCGAAGTTACAACAACAGTGAAAACACTATAATGAAAAATGATTATAATAACTATCATTTTTCACACAGCCATTTCAGCATCCCCGTGATTAAAATTCAGACACTCGGCAACCGGCGTCAACAAAGATTATAATGCGGTCTCGCTGAGCGACAGAAGTTTGGGGCTCCACTGTGGCCATAATTCGAGGTCTACTTGCAGTTGGATTTCTAGCCACTCTAGTTGCAAATGCAGGCTTCGAAAACCAACCACCCCCAACTGGAGGAATGTTTATGGAGAATCTCAGTCATCCATGTCACAGTTGTCTCAAAGATGCTTTTTCAAGAGGCATCTCTTGAATTTCTGTTTTTTTTTTCTCAAATGGCCAGCTGTCTGCAAGGAATATAAATCCTTCCCATTCCCCACCATCCAAGTCAGAGCCGAAGAAGCTTCTTTGGGAGAGAAGTGAAACGTCTTCAAAACAAAAACAAAACCAGTCCAGTCGCCTCTTTGTTTAAAAAAAGCATCTTTGGGCCAACGGGATGAAATTTGCAAAGCTGCCTCCCAGATATTTCTTCCCTTTAAACGGCTCCTTGTTTTTCGTTTTCAAGTTCGAAGCTCAAAAGCGTCTGCGCACTGCCGGGGAGTTCAGCTATGCCTCTCTTGTGCCCGAGAGAAATTCAATGTTCCTCCCGACCTTAATGGGTTGCATTTGCATTCCTGGGCACCACAAAACCAAATTTATCCCTTTCCTGCCTGCTGGAGAAGACTGGGGGAGTGGCAGGCCAGAAGTTTACAGCTGCTGCTTCCCGTTCCTTAAACCGGAAGGGATTCCATTCCAGATGCTTTGGCATCTCCTCTTGAAATCCGGTTTGGCTCCGGTGTGTGTTTCGTTTCCAGGAAAGACAGTGACAAAAGGGCCAGAGAGAGCAAGCAAAACAAAACGATGATCGGGACGAGAGCAGAGGATAAACACATCCTGCTTGGAGAGCTGCCTGGAGTTTGGGAGACTTTTGGACACTTGAACATGAGACAGGATTAGGGGAGAGGAAAAGAGACGGGTCAGCCTTGCGAATACGGACATGTTTTCGTCTTGCTGGATGAAGGGGGGGAAAGTCCAAGATATTTTTGTTGTGGTAGTTGTAGAGAAGAATTTGCAGGCACCACTGAGCCCAGAACATTTGGGGGTTTAAGCGAAACATTGGTTAATGGAATTTTTTGTCCCGTTTTACGGCCTGCCTTGCAGGAACTGGGTATGTCTGGTTTAATGAAAAAAAGGACTAGGGGTGACCTGAGAGCCATGTTCCAATATTTGAGGGGCTGCCTCAAAGAAGAAGGGGTCAACTTAATTTCCCAAAGCACCAGAAGGCAGGACAAGAAGCAACGGAGGGAAGGAGTCGACCAACCTAGAAATAAGGAGAAATTCTAACAGTGAGGACAATTTAACCAGTAGAACGGCTTGCCACTAGAAGTTGGGGATGCTCCATCACTGGAGGTTTTCAAGAGAAGACCGGAACGATTACAGGATCTCCTGCTTAAGCAGGGGGGTTAGACTAGAGGACCTCCAAGCTCCTCTCCCAGCCCTAGGATTCTACGAGTCCATTTGCATCCGGTTATCCCCAGCCAGCCATGCCTCGTTTCTAAGTCGTCTCTTCAAAGGGTGCCTCTAGCAAAACGGTTAGGAGTTTATCATTATTCTTCTTAAAAACGGATCTGAGAATCAGGAAGCAAAACTCTGCCCGGTCATAACAGAAATCTGTTTCTCGCAAAAATGTCCAGGTCAAGTCAAATGACTCATGAATGGTTTTGTTTATAATAGATGCAGGCCCTGGTTTTGGGGGACACCCCTCCTTACTGGGCCTGGAGGCAGACGGAGCAGGAGGGACCTCACCTAGCTGGGCACCTGTCATTTTAATTGTTACCCTGGGACCCATCCTGCAAGCTTTGTCAGCGCTTGCATAGTTTCTCATGTAAATAATGTGTTGTTGTTTTAAAAAAACGGGATCTATCATCAGCCTCTCTTCCTGTGTTCCTTATTGGCAGCCAGGGGGGAAAAACACACACACACACACAACCTTTTAAAGGATTATTATGACAGTCGAGCCTCTGGTTGCCTACGTGCACGGCGAACAAGAGGCTTAAAACTTAAAATGAGGGCACCCATCTGCCTCTTGAAATAAGGTTCAAGAGGAGAGGATCTATTAATGGGATTACGGTTTAGTTGCAAGGAAGATCCCCTTTAAAAATAAGGGAAGAACTCTCCGCTTTTCAACTCTGAACTTTTTATCTGAAAGAGGAATACGCCGTGTGACTTGATGTCTTTATTTCCCCTCTTTTAAAAAAAAATAAAAATAAAATAAAACAAAGAATTGGCTATGCGGCTAGTCCAGCAGATCGCAAGAGACAGAACAAAGATTAGTGTGTCACAAGCTTGAATGCTGAAGTTTTGTAGAAGAGCCAATTCATAATTCCCGGCAGGCAAAAAAAAAACCATTTAACATTTTAGATTAGGCCTTAATCTCTGGGACTCTGCGCATGCTGGCTTGGCCTTAATCCTACAGTTGTGGCATTGGGGGTCTCTTAATATTAAAACATAGCATAATAGAGTGGGAAGGGGCCTGGGAGTTTATTGAAGTGATGAACTCGGCAAATGCACAAGTACGAAAGGCCAAAGCCCTGTGAAGTGCAGGCAGTTCTCAACGGCTGCCATCGAAACCAAGATCTACATTGTTAAGTGAGTTTGCTCCATTTTACGACTTCTCTCTCCACGTTTGTGAAGTGAGTCACTCATCGTCTTCATTTAACGACCCTCTAATCCCTTGCGGGGTGGAGACCGGTCAACCGAATGGAGCTAGCAGAGTGTTTTAATGGCTGGATGCCCTTCCTGTCACCGATGCGGAGTTTTGTTTAGCAGATATATATATTCTCAGTGTGCCCAGAGAGAGAAATACCTGCCTCTACCTAGGATCGAACTCACAGCCGCCTCGTTGTGAGGTGAGAGCACCACCTCTAGGCACAACAGCACAATTCCTGTTAAGCGAATAACTGCAGTTCTTAAATTAGTCCCACGGTTGTTAAGCGAACCCGACTTCCCTGTGGACTTTGCTTGTCAGGGGGGACACTGCAACCGTCATAAATATGAGCCAGTTGCCAAATGTCTGACTATAAATCACATGACCACGGGGATTGCTACAACACTCGTTAAGTGTGAAAAACGGTCATAAGTCCCTTTTTTTTCAGCGCCGTCGTAACTTCGAAACGGTCCCTAAACCAACTGTTGCAAGTCAAGGATTATTACCTGCAATTTTGGCAGCAGCATGATAATTCCCCAGTAGAACGGGGCCCGTTTGGCTAAGCACAACTCTTGGGGTGCCCCAGATGGCAAGGCCACGCCACGGAGCCCAAGCGTAGCTGAGCAAGTGGAGGCTTACCGTCGCTATGTGGGAGATTCCCTTCTTCCCTTCAATAATCCCTGCAAAACTTCAACCTTGTTTGCCCACCGGGGCACCATGAAATGCGAGCCGGCCGTGGGGCCATCGAGCCAAGGAGTTCTGGCCTTTCTAAGCGCCTCCTGCCAGCCAGCCAGGATGGGAAGGCGGCCAAGCAGAGGAGGAAAAACTTACCCCAGCCAAAACTGAGGGACCCACCGGAGTTGAACCTGCTGCGTCATCGGTTCGGTGGGAAATTAAGTTGCTTCTTGGGGGCTCTCCAAGTCCCAGAATGTCTTTTGTCTTGCTTCTATCCAGGGGTATCGATTGATTTTTCTTTCTTTCTTTCTTTCAAGGCTAGGGTTTCGTCGCGTTTAACGGCAATTTGGCAGGTTTTTTTTGGAGAAAGCAACTTTTATCTTTCCCCCTGCCTTCTTCCTGTAAGCAAATTTGCCACCAAACTGATTATGTCTTTGCCACGTACTGTGCTCTCCCACTCACACACGTAACTGTGGTTTAGTGCAGGGGTCGCCAACCTTTTGGACCTCAGGGACCACCAAACTTATCATTTTAAATCCCGCCAACCAGAGACCCTGGGAAAATCCCCCCAAAAAAGTCTGCAGGAAAATCCCCCACCCCGTTTTCCTATCGATTGATCGTTCTTTATTTAGGATCGCAGGATACCGTCTCCAGCTCCATTCTCAGGGAGAGGGAGAGAGAAAGAGAGACTTTTGGCTTCATGCAAGGAAAGCAGCAGAAGCAGCAGAAGTCTTTCTTTGTCTCCCCCAAATTCCGCCAGAAATGAGTCTTTGTGAGTCCTTGCCGGTGCAGCCTCTTGGAGCAGGAGGCCTTGCAGGGTCCCAAAGACTCATTTCTGGTAGAGTTTAGGGGAGAGAAAGAAAGACTTTTGCTGCTTTCCTTGTGTGCAGCCAAAAGCAGAAGAGGAAAGAAGAGGAAAGAAGCAGCCCGGTGGCCAGGCCAAGCGTGTGGGGCAAGTTCTCCCCCCCTCCGCCCTTTCCCCCCTCCCCTCATTGTGTTGTTCACAATGCTAGCAACGCATTGTTTGGATTAGGTGCAGCAGGCAGTTCCTCCTCCTCATCCCCCACCGGAAGCCTCTGGGCTGTCCTGCTGCATCTGTGCTTCCACCAAAGCCCAACCAGACGGAGCCATTGACCGAATCCCCTCCAGTAGTGGTAACCAATTTGGCTCTTTGCATGTTGATGGACTACGTCTCCCAGAAACCCTCACTTTGGGCCACTCTGGCCAGGGACTTGGCGGTCCAACAACAAGGCTGCCGGGTTTTTTTTGTTTTTTGTTTAAAGAGCTGAATCGTCACTCCGCTGCTTCAAGCATCCTGTGTAACTTCTCCATTTTGACTTCAGATGGCTTTGAGGTTTTGGGTGGGGTGAGGAGATGACTCAGACCTTGCTGTCCGTTTTCCATCAGCAGGAATTCCCAGGAAGGGTGATTCCACCAGCTGGGCAAAACCAAACCGGTGTTTTGCAAAGCCCCAAACTTCAAAACCGGCTCCCAAACCCAGGCAAGGTTTGAGCCGGAGAAAACTCTCTTGTTTACCGATCGAGTATCAGTTTCGATTTGTACTGTAGCTTTTCCAGGAACTCCTTTGAGCCCCTGAATTGGAAATCTACATCCTGACCCTGGCCACACCCTTGATCAGAATGGACCGAACGCAAAAAAACTGTGGAATGCACACTCCTGGCTGCCCCGCACTTATTTCGGTCTGGTTTGGCAGCATTCTTGGCTTTCGGATCTCCATCTCCTTTTTTGGTGGTATTTGGGAAGGGGGGGGGAAACAACCACGGTGGAGCTGGGCTGGTTCTGTTTGAAGGCAGCCTTGCTGTGAGAGAGTTGTCTGTGTGTGACTTGGTGTGATGATTTTATAAATCCTAGGGGTGTGTGCGTGTGTGTGTGATCTTGAGCTTAAGAAAATCAAATTAGCTCACCTGAGTTACCTGCTACAGTATTAGTTCTGGTATGTGTGAACAGAGGCAGGCATGTAAGCCAAGTGCTAGTTTGATGCTCAAGATTAAGTGCATTTAATATGATGCTCTGGGCTCGTTGGCTGGAAAGGTTCGAGGCCCCGTGCCACAGCTCCTGCAGTTCGAAAGCCTGCAAATGCGAGTAAATAAATAGGTACCATTTCGGTGGGGAAGGGAACAGCGTTCTGTGATATCATGCTGGCCACACAACTGTGGAAATGTTTTCCGACAGTGCTGGTTCAATGGCCTTGAAACGGGGGATGAGCAGTGCCCCAAAAGTCAGCAATGACTAGCGGAATAAAATCCTTTTTTTCTTTCTTTCTTAAAACCTTGGTATATTATTTAGAAGAGAGGTATGGAACAATGGTCCCTTTCTGACTTGTGGACTTCAACTCCCAGAATTCCTGAGCCAGCATGGAACATTTTCAACAAACTATGTTTTAACGATATCCTGGCTCAGTCCTGGCGTTTTTAAGAGGGAGGCTGTCCACCCAAGGCGTAACTTTTTTGTCCGTTGTGCCCACAGGCCGGTGGAGGTGCCGTTGGACGTGCTGAGGCAGAGGGAATCAAAATGGCTGGACATGCTCAACAGCTGGGACAAGTGGATGGCGAAAAAGCACAAGAAGGCAAGTCAACAACAGCGAAGTGTCCCACAGCGACCGGCTTCCTTCCTTCCTCTCTCTCCCCTTTGGCGCCCGAATCGCTTCTCTGTGTCTTCATCCTTGCTCTTAGTTTGTGGCCTTGCAAGTCCCAGGATCCCCCAGCTGGCTGGGGAATTCTGGGAATTGAAGTCCGTAAGTCTCAGCGTTGCCGAGACTTATGGACACCCCTGTTCTCTGTCGTGAGGGCAGAGTAGTTGAGAGTGAAATAACCCAGCGTAGAAATTTAATACATCCACACATTTGGTTGTCCCAAGCAGAACACCCCTCGGTGTTTTACCTTTAAAAAGAAGGTGGGGGGATATTTGGGGGGACATTTGTGCGTTCCAGCCTTGCCTCTCATCAGTGCCCCCTCCTCTTCTCCTCCTCCCCTTTTCAGATCCGGCTGAGGTGCCAGAAGGGCATCCCACCTTCCCTGCGTGGCCGGGCGTGGCAGTACCTTTCGGGGGGCAAAGTCAAGCTGGAACAGAACGCTGGCAAGTTTGATGTAAGACGCTTCAGCGAAGGCAGAGGAAGGGGAGGGGGGAGTTGGACAGGTGGTCCTCGATTTACAACAGTTCCCCTTAGTGACTATTCAACGTTACAATGGCACCGGACAAAGTGACGCCAGGCCATTCTTTTTTTTTTTTTTTTTCACCCTCCTTCTGACCCTGGACAGAAATTCAGATGCTTCGCAACTGACTCGCATTAACGACGGTTGTGGTGTCCCAGGGGGATTCGTAACGTATCGACTGCAGTAATTCACTTAACAAATGTGGCTAGAAAGGTTGTAAAACAGGGCAAAACTCATTTAAATGCCTCACTTAATAACAGAAATCTTGGGCTCAGTTGTGGTTGTAAGTTGAGGACCACCTGACAATAAAGTTTATTCCTGTTCTATTCTGTTATTCTATCATATTTCTATTCTATTCTTTCATAATTCTATTCTTTCATATTTCTTTTCTATTCTTTCATAATTCTATTCTTTCATATTTCTATTCTTTCATAATTCTATTCATAATTCTTTTCTATTCTTTCATAATTCTATTCTTTCATATGTCTATTCTTTCATAATTCTATTCTATTCATAATTCTTTTCTATTCTTTCATAGTTTATATTCTTTCATATTTCTATTCTTTCATATTTCTATCCTTTCATTATTCTATTCATAATTCTTTTCTATTCTTTCATAATTCTATTCTATTCATAATTCTATTCTGTTCTTTCCTATTTCTATTCCATTCCATTCTTATTCTTATTCTTATTCTTATTCTATTCTATTCTATTCTATTCTATTCTATTCTATTCTATTCTATTCTATTCTATTCTATTCTATTCTATTCTTATTCCATTCTATTCTTATTCCATTCCATTCCAATTGTTTGTTTTGTTCTGTTCTCTTCTGTGTTCTGTTCTGTATTTTCCCGCCCTAAAATTGCAGGATTGTTTTACTTACTTTGTTGTTAATGTTTTCCTTCCCATGCCTAATGTTTTTTTAATAAATCTTCTAATTCTTTCGTACTGTTGTTGATGGCCTGGCAGGCCTCCCAGAGTCGCTTGAAAGTGAGTAGGGCAGCCCATACATTTCATAAACAGGTAAAGAAAGCACTTATTTTGGGTTTACAGGAGCTGGACGTGGCTGTGGGAGAGCCCAAATGGCTGGACGTGATTGAGCGAGACCTCCACCGCCAGTTTCCCTTCCACGAAATGTTTGCTGCACGAGGAGGCCACGGGTAAGAGGCCCTGCCCACCCCCTGCCTTTCTGGGTAATACAGGTGGTCCTTTCCACTCTCGCTTCGTGGCCTGTTTCCTGAGACCACGGGGGCTGTGGCTGGACCGTGAACTGTGTGGCAGGCAGCTGTTAAAGCTGCCAATGAGACCGGCATGATGTGGCAAACATAGAGCTGTCTCCCTTCCTCCTTCCCTTCCTTCCTTCCTTCCTCTCTTTCCTTCTTTCCCCCTCCCTCCCATCTCCTTCCCTCCCTCCTACCTCC